GATCGGAAGGGAGAGTCATTTTTTTTATTCAGCACCGGTAATGCAAATTACTGTTTGATTAATGACCAATGTTGCTGAAGGACACTGATGACAAATCTGGATGCTGAAGGCTGACTTTGGATTGTTCTTTTTTTTTACCCCGTCGCCAATTGTTATGGCTCAAACTGACAGCCGATTATATGACAGTGACTTATCGATCGGATCAAGGATTCAGAATCTCGATAGCCTATTCTGGTCCGTTGTCCCCAACTCTGCTAACTCGATCAAGAAGTTTGGGTAAGGTGTAGAAAGTGTATTCTACAGACAAACAGCAGATAACAAGTCAGGCAGGCAGATCAGATCAAGCATACAAGTCAAGCGTATTTATACAATTATTTACAATCGATATTGTCATAGGAAATTTTAAACATTAATCAATGAGTTCATTAATTGACCTATTTGCGCATTTAATCGATAGTTCATCAATTGACTCCAATACAAATATTTAAACGTTTAATCAATAAGTTGAACGATGCGATAAAATTCAAAATATGAGTTTGGGGATCTATCGTCCCCAACACTCTTCAATTGTAAATATGCTGTTCATGCATTTCCGGCACGCGCCTTCACATCCGCATCAGACCCACCCTGTTCATCAATGATGCTGCTCAGATATGTAAAAGTTTATACATCTTCCAATTCTTCTCCGTCAATTGTGGTTGGATTGGTGCATGCTGTGTTGTATCGGAGAATCCTGCTTTTCCCTTTGTGTATATTGAGACCTACTGCTGCTGAGGTTGCTGCTACACTGGTCGTTTTCTCCTGCATTCGTTGTTGCGATTGCGATATGAGGGCCAGATCATCTGCGAAGTATAGATCATCCAGCTTCATCCTAGATGTCCACTGTATCCCGCGTTTCCCTTCAGATGTCGATGTCTTCATGATCCAGTCGATCACCAGGAGAAAGAGAAAGGGTGAGAGTAAGCAACCTTGCCTAACACCGGTCTTCACTTCGAACGAGTCTGTGACCTGTCCTCCATACACGACTTCGCAGTTTAATCCATCGTAGGAATTCTGTATGATATTGACGATCTTCTGAGGTACGCCGTAGTGTCGAAGAAGCTTTCATAGTGTTGTTCTGTCCACGCTATCAAATGCCTTTTCGTAGTCAATGAAGTTGATGTAGAGTGATGAATTCCATCCAATTTATTGTCCCACAACGATCCGTACAGTTGCGATTCGGTCTGTACACGATCGATCCTTACGGAATCCTGCCTGTTGGTCACGAAGTTGGGTGTCTACGCAGTCCTTCATCCTGTTTAACAATACCCTGTTGAAGACTTTTCCTGGTATTGAGAGAAGAGTGATGCCCCTGTAGTTATCACACTTGCTGACATCGCCTTTCTTTGGTATTTTGACCAGAAGTCCTTCTTTCCAGTCTTTTGGTACTTGTTCCTTATCCCGAATCTTATTGAAGAGAATGTGGAGTATCCTTGCAGTTACCGCTACGTCTGCTTTCAGTGTCTCCGCTGGAATGTTGTCTGGCCCTGCTGCTTTGCCACTCTCGATTTGTCTGATGGCCATGCTGATTTCTTCAATTGTTGGTGGGCCAACATTGATTGGGAGGTCCGTGTGTGCTGCTTGATATCGGGTGGGTTCAGTGAGGCTGGTCGATTCAAGAGTTTTTTGAATTGTTCTACCCACCTGTTTTGTTGCTCTTCAATGTTGGTGATTACCTTGCCTTCCTTGCTTTTCACTGGTCCTTCTGGTTTACGATGATTTCCAGAGAGTTTGTTTGTTATGTCATACAGTTCTCTCATGTTTCCTTCTCTTGCAGCCTTTTCCGCCGTCATTGCCAGATGTTCCACATATTTACGTTTGTTGGTTCTGATGCTCCTCTCCACTTGTTTGTTTACTTCTGTGTATTTAGCTTGTGCCTTGTTTTTTCTGCTCTTGTTCGGCTGGTATTTATTGCTGCCTTCTTATTCCTCCTTCCTTGAATCTTATCCAGTGTATCAACAGTGATCCATTCCTTGTGATGGTGATTCTTGTGGCTCCGTACATTTTTTAGATAGGTATAATTCTTCACTCCGTGAAAGTGCACAGTGGGTCAAACGGAACCGGGGAACCCTACACTCCTTAATCGTTAACAGAAGAGATAAATAAGTTCATGATTTCATTTCCACAGTAGAATGTCTCAGTTTATGTGTAAAACATATAACACATTTAGAAGCTGCTTCCTTGTTTACCTATTGTTATTAACTGTGTTAGTTAGATTTCTATATCGACAGCTATTTGAAAAACATATCCCTATTAGAATAGTCGAGGTGAGTTCCAAATAATTACTTTTAAAGTGCACAGTGAACGTTCATTTATCCCCGAATTACACATATTATAGACAAATTGATGGAATAGTAATTCTGTTCCTCATTATATCTGATCTGTTCTCTCGTTAAACCAGAAAACAGATTATTGAAAAGATTGACTAATATAGATGTTATGTTGATGATACACTGATTATCATCGGAGTGAGCAATGAAAAAGAACCCACAGGACAATTCACAGCGCAAATTCAGCAACCATTTTTGTATGTGAGAAGGAGGTGGTCGATGAGTTATAATTCCTCAAATTTTTGTTGAAAAACTGGATCTATCAGAACGAGCATGCATAGAAGAAGTTCATCTGAATGTCAGTACACACTCTTATTCAGCTTCTTGTTCATTCGTTACTAGAGAAACGTAGTTACGTGCTCCACAGTTAGAGCCATAACTATATGTCGATACGATACAACAAACAAAGAACCACGTTTTATACGTAATCTATTGAGTAAAATGTACCAGGATCAAAGCTTTCTGAATCAATACATGCACACAGTGGACAGAAAGATAGTAACATTGGCTTTTGGTAAGAAAGTTCTCTTCCTAAAGATACAATTCAACCGAAATACAGTCAGGGATCCTTTCGAATTCACTCAGTATTTCGTCTATTACCTTTGAACATACATAGTGGTCTGCATATAATAGTTGTAACTGCTCCCAGCATTAACATATAAATGGTACAGAAAGGTGAATAACATCACAGACGGTCAGAAGCTGACTTCACTTTCTTTCGGTTCATCTTGACAATGAATATTTTAGAAAGCAAATATTTATAGACTTGTAATATGTTAAGGTGTTGGTAATGTAAATGATAAATCATATTACTTTTGTAAATATAATTGTATTTTATGCTTCTCATATGTTGATTAATTTCATAAATTTAATTCTCATTATTCTTCACGTAAATTGGCGGTCCTCTTCATCTTTCTCTATACGTACAGCAATTAGTTAATAAACGTCGCAAAGCAATGTTGTCTATATTTATTCATTCAGACAATTTTTGAAATAAGTTCATCTTAAGATACTCTAACACGTTATACCGAAGCAACTCAGAGTACGTAATCCGATCAGTCTTAAGCTTTGTGTGCTAATCCTTACTTTACTATTATTTATGTCACTATTCTGGATTTCATAGGAGTTTTACTACATGGTTCTAGACGTGAATGATACAGCCTTTAAATTTGAACACCCTGTGAACTCTGTCTTTTTAAAGGTTTACTCGCGTTGTCATATATTCTACTTGTAATTTAAAATGTTCGCCGAAGCATTTCCTACAGAGAAGAACATATATGACAAAAGCATGTACAAGAATTCGACGAAGCCGCTGGTATTGCGATTTTCGACAAATTTATACTAACTTAGATGATGATCTGACATCTGAAATAATCAAAAATGGGTTAGTATTACGAAGTTAGTTTATCCAATCTATTAATCTTTACAAATCTTCGCATTACACTAGAATATTCTAATTAAATTTATAACAAGACCTCAATAGAAGGCTCTCATAATCATAGAGGTTGTTTTGTTTATTTTACGTTCTGTCCTTATTCTCGTCATTTCCTTTTTTTGTGTTTCGTTTTATTCTAACTAATAATATTCAATGAATAATGTATTCTTAGTAATTTGTATACCCATGTTATAGTGCAGTTTATCATGTAATATTCTAAAATATTTACATATACTTGTAACATTATTTGTGTTCACCATTATAATTAATTTCTCTCAGTCCCGATAACAGTTGGTCTCAGTTTTGTATGGTCGTTTAATCTTTGCTTAAACGCAGTGGTTTCCATATTTTAATGGTTGAATTGATGAGTTGATTTAAGCTAGACCATATTTGTTTGCTCTTAGTTCCGTGTTTGATTGTTGATAAACTGTTATCAAGATAAGACACAGCTCTCAGCTGTCATTTGCACTATTGTATGTCATAATCATTCTTTGTTATTAATACAGGGAGCCTTTTTCAGACTTACAGACATTATGAGCCCCATAGATATCTCATGAGTTGAGTTTTGTAACTAATGCATGTCTGTTCATCAATAATGGACCTCTTTCTAGACAAATCGCTGTTTTATGAACTTTGTTTTCGCGCGCAACTCAATTGTGTAAGTAGAACCTTCGATAGATTTCACAGAGGTATTGCTATCAAATGCAATAGTTTCTGGTGTTTTATTCTTAACATGACAAAATAAAAGCATTTGGGTGGAACCATGACTTATGGACGAACCAGTCAGATTTGGGATAACACGTCTCATATTTTGGCGCGAAATTCATTCGCCCATTTATCTAAATGGCGTCTTGGCATTTTAGCTGATGTCATTTCGTAAATCTAATTCCTAACCCTTACCATCAACTGTAAGTCATAATTCCAATTCCTCTGACTGCTTTATAACCCTCATTTAGCCCTAGTAAGTAGGTGGACATTCCCAAGATCACTTTAGCGTTGCTCAAAGGTTGCCCATAAATCATAGTCTCACAAGCATTTTGATCAATATAGTTTGTTAGCAGACAGCATATTTCGCAATTAGATTTCCTGATATATTTGGGCAAATCTATACAATTAGGCAGAAGCAAGTCAGTTTTCGTTTAAGTATTATATTTCTCATCAGTAATCTACGAAAAGCTACAATATTTATGATTAATCTACATTCTTTCGAAACAGTGAAGAAAATACACATACACTAATTCCTTTTCAATCATACTGTTGATTACTAACTTTTGATAGTCTTACCACAATTTACATTTCTTCAAAGGATTCATTGGTGAGCCAATCGGACAGTGATATGCTTTAGCAAATTCTTCATTATTTGACAAAGCACCTATCAGCCTGAAAGATTATAAAAAGAGAAATCAACACGATATATTTGTAAATAATGGAACTATTCGACCTAAATTCTAATTTTGTATAAAGATTACACACCTAAATATCCTATGTCCAGTCCTTAACACCAAGTCAATATACAGTAATGAGTGGTCTTGTTTTTAAGAACTGGTAGTTTTTCAGTGCTTTCTAGAGTTTCCAAGTTTGACAATCCATGATCAAATGCAACCTCACATGAAACACATATTTAGAAATATATTCAAGTTAAACATATCTCCATGAGCACGATGATAGTAATGATTGCAATAGCTTCATTCAGAGATGAATTATGACTAGCAGTGGATTCCAAAACACATGAAGTGTCCTAATATTTAAGTGGATAACGCGATGGTGTTGGAAGCGACTGGTACTGAGATCGAGTCTCGGAGTGTACATCAATTTTGGGATGCAGATTCATCCAGATGACGACTCCGAAATAGGATGAAACGAGCGTCCTGGATTTCAATGCTAGCCACACCCATATCTGCTAATAATGCGTGTTACTAATAGTGATATCGAGGCAATGCGCACAGGATGAACGCACTCCAATAAGAGACTGATCAATTACTGTCCTAAAAATCAATGGGGAGATTCAAACAAGCGATACAAAAATGAATTTACAGCTTTATTCACTATGTCAAATTTTGTTGCCGTGACGAAGTCTCTGGATCAGTTGTACAACGTCACTTATTTTCATTATAGAGGGTTTTTGACTAGTTTATGTGCTATAACTATCCTCTTTTTAATCGGATATGTCAGTATGTACGTTCTTTGTTTTGCCAGAGGTTAGATATGGGGAAAAAGATCACAAGTGCAGAGTTTCAGTTTGAGATTTGGCGCATATTGAATCGCTCTAGTTTGTAAGTCAGCCATACTGTTATTACTCGGATTAAATAAATCTAAAACAACAAGGTTTATTACGATAACTGAACAGTTATAAAACAGGTGGGCCAAATGTTATTGTGCGTGGTCAACTAAATTAAGTGACTTGACAATGATTTTCAAGTAAATCGATTTATGTAAATGGTCAGAAATGCTATTTCTGCATTCAAAATTACAGATCTATTTCTTGAAATAATAGGGTACTTGAAATTAAAATACCTTCTGGCTGATTTTGATAGAATCCATAACTAATATCATAGTGTTACTAACTGTCAGTTTTATTTGAATTTTATTTTTGATATTTATAATGTTACTTGACTTCCGAAAAAACAACCATTAAAATCGTACTTAGTTTACACATAAATTCAACAGTGCTTAAACCATTGTTGGTGTTATCACTCACCAGAAGTGTGGAATTAATTGCACCATAAGCATTCGGTTGCATACAAATTGTAACATTAAACAGTCATAAAACATGCCTGAAAAGTTCCGAAGCTTACCTATATCGAGGTAGAATGTGATTAATGTAATATTTGTGGTACTGACGTGAATCCTTATGTACACGGCCACATAAAGTCTATATATTTTAATTAAACACAGAATACAAAATAGCATGTTATGATATTATATTTGTTAAAATTCACATTACTAGTTATATAATCAACTAGGCATCATTGGTAAAATGATAGCTACACTATTGATTGTATTATTTGCTTCAATAATCAGTAAGTTGCTTAAAACACATTTTGAATGAAAGTATGTAAGAGATAAACATATTTCAAAAGACAGAAAACGCTTTTACTTCTGTTACCAACGAAGAACCATTCCACTTTACAATGATAACGATTTTAAAGTATCCACGAAACGGGATACCCAGGCTCGGTAGATAGCGAAAGTGGAAAATTTACGCCCATTGGTATTTCATTTGATCCACTACCAATAATAGTCTACAAAAATATTGTTATATTTTGTATCAGTGAATAATTTTATTAGAAACATTTTATGGCTCTCCTGGTAATTATCAGGTGAAATAACTGATTGAAATGATTTCGAATCACTTCCACGGATTATTAAGTACAACGTTGATCATTATTAAAGCTCAAAGCTAATGAAAAAGAATTTCTTCATAATTGTTAAATCCACATATAAAAGTTATGCTTAAAATCGGAGTGTATAAATACTTTTAGAGGAACATTTCGTCAATGGTTAACTTCATTCAAGAGAGTTAACCAAAGGACTGTTATTCAAGAGAACACAAATTTTGCAAATGCTTAATGAGCATTCAATGAAAAGGGAAAAAATGTGTGCTTACAATGCAGTTTCTTAAGTGAACATGAAAGTCTTAGGCTTATATTTGTGAAGTGCATATAGTAGGTAGGCTGACATTTTACAACTTGATAATTTTACACGATCGGTTCGTGTGTCGCTCCACATTAATTTAATGATTTCAAACGAACAGAACATTTGATAGAATGTTATTAATATATATTTGTCTATTCACTTGACACTGATTTAACCATGCTAATCTTGATTTCATTTTCCATTGGACTAAATATTCTGATTGAATACTATTTTCTAATCAACCTTTTGTTAATTTGATTATCTTATTTATTTTTTGTTAACTGAAAAAAAAGTTTAAAATAAATTGTGAAACATTTGAAATTCTAATTTCAATTCATTAATTTATCACAAATACACCATGATTTTATCATTACAAGCTTGTACTGTCTTCTTTGTATCCTATTTGAATAGTTTTAGATTTTTCACATACTAATCACTTGTAAAACCTTATTTATGCACGTAAATTTTAATAATTCCCACCTTGAATGCTATACACAAATAAGGGAACATATTGATCAACTTGCCTGTGCAAATCTCAGGAAAAATAATCTATCGGAAGCTAAGAGTTCGCTTGAATTTTGAACACGTTGTCTATTTTGCAATTTCCGGTATGTCTGAAAAGTAGTTGGAACAGTCACATGAGATATTTATCATTCATGACTAAAGTATTGACAATATCACACAAACAGTCAATCAGTGTTAACATTAATTTCAGTTGTAGTTTAGTTCAATTAGATTTCTTTTACCTACTTGTGTTTATCTAGATTTTTGCTCGGATAACTAACTCATTTATCGTTATCAAATACTAAATTACTGGTGGATTGTATGACGATTAAGATTTTGAATGATTTGAAATATATATGTAGATGAGAGAGGTGATTTCCGACAGTGAATAGTATCAGACAATTGTTAGCTTTGAGACTGGTTTTCAGTGTTGTAATTAGGAGCCTGATCTATGAAGTTGGGTATGTTCGGAGTAAGGTGATCACAAAATGGTGATATCGGATTACTACCATACAAAATCATAAACTGGCTGGATTTGAGAATCGGTCTATTACTCAACAATTCTAATCGTCATTGGAGAAAACAGATGAATGGATTTCCTTTTTCAAAAGGGAACGCTGAGAAACATTCAATTTCTGCTTCTGAAACTAATAACTCGTGATCATATGCGTGTTTCAGACTGTTCATACTGTGAACTTGTGTTCCAATCTACCTATCTGGGATTTGATATGAGTATTAAGTTTTACGGTCACGCAGTCAAGCCTTATGTCTTGTAGAATGACACTACATCGCCATATGATATTTACATTTAATTTATTCACATACATTGTACATTATTTTCAATCCTCCATTGTCAGCCAAAATTTCATTCCGCGTCCCAATTCTATCGCTCTAAATAAGTTGAATTTAGAGAAAATGAGGAATATTTATCAAGGTTTATAACGAATTAAACTGATCATTTTATTTTGTTCTATTTACTACAACTGAAGAGACCACTCGGAATCTCATGGATTCACTGGACTCATAAATAAGTTTTCAAGATGAAAAAACCTATTCTGCTAGAACTATTCACAGTTTAATTGTTGTATGATCGAACAGATTATTTCAAAAAACAGCAATGGATTTGTACTAAAAATACATGAATCGGTATTAAATGTCACAATATTTAATGATTATTTCAACCACAAAGCAGCATGTATCGAATTCCTAATTAGGCAGTTCTCACTCTACTGTATACTCGCCTACAATGTTGATTTTTATTTCAATCAATTAATTTGCACTTAATATAAATGATTTCTTGCAAACACGATAATTATTCTGCAGCAGCAATTAAACAACACTGGTAGTGTTTTACTTTCAATAAGCCATTCTCACTCACAAATAGTAACTTTGTAACTCTTACTACTGTCCTTAACTCAGCCACTTTTATTTGAAAGGCTCTTCTGAAAATTGTGAACTATATTATCACTTACCTTCATTGAGTAGGATTTGAATTTTCAGTATCTTGAAACTTCTTTTCTGTTCAAGTTATTCGTAATAGTGCTTACCAAGCCCCAACAAAACATGGAAATTACTAATTTATTTCTCATGCTTGTAAACATTAACACGATTTGAATGAATCTGTTCCGCGACAATATACACATGGATTACCGTGCGATCGATATTCCAGATCAGCTCTGGTTGGATGAAAACAGGTAACATGCGAACTTTCCTATGCGTGTCACGAACCTAGAAAAATTGACTTCGTCGAGGAAAAGTTATAACTTTGAAATGAATTCCTCAAGTAATCATTTCGTTTGGAAAGAGGTTATGTATTTTTAAAACTCTAGGTAAAACTAACTAAAATGCTCAGAATATTGGGTGGAGGTGGAAGAATTCGGAAACTTGCATGAATATATCACTTTACTCAATCGTCCCTTCTGAAATTAGTGTTTTTCACTAGGTAATTATGTGAACCATTTATGTAAATGGTAATTATCGGTATAAAGGCTTATTGTTCTGAAACACTTACCTTTTCAAACGAATCAGAATGGTTTTTGTAATGAGATCGCAGACAATCTGTTTGCCTCATATTTGCAATCAATCCTGCATAAGAATCTTTACCTGATCGTTGATTCCCATTGATATCCTCGAGAACACCTTATATTTATATAGAAATAAGTAAATAGATTCAAACCTGATTCATTTTCATTTACAATGTATTATTGAATAACATTAGAAAAGTTTATTATTTGTGGGAATTTCTTCCTCTTCTTGTAGAGTTATGAATTATTTATACCTGCATTATAGTACTATTAGTAGTACATTTATTCGTCATTCAAAGTTAGAAATCTACATTCACTGACAGTGTTCTCTATTTACTGACATCTCTGAGCGTCAGTTTGTATGAATTGGTGAATCCACTCTAATATAAATACACAATGAATGATGTTCTAGTTAATACTCGATACATGAACTTATGTTAGATGTACACATTTGTTAAAAATGTTTTCGTTGTCTGATGCAAAGTCCAAGCATAGCTAAATATTTTCTTATCTTCAGGTTGACGTTGATATGACTCATATAGAATGCTAACTTGAATGTACATATATGTTAAGTGAAAATTCAAGATCCATGATCACAATAAATGTGGTGAGAAAGATAATAGTGCAATTACAATTCGATCAAATGTTTAGTGCAAAAATTAGGATGAATGCGAACTGAATGAATCATGTACTGGGGAAATTAATATTGATGTTTAACCAATAGTAATTAAATTAATACTAATGCTAATACTACTACCATTACACTTGACTACGAAAGGTCGTAAGTAAAATGGTCAAATTAGGTCATTCAATGGCTCAGATTACTATTGATTCATTGGCCTTGAGGTTGGTCAAGGGAGGAAGAGCGGTTGAAGATATTTATTTTGTACATAGAACTCCGGTTTCTTCATCTGGATGACTACTACTTCAGCCGTTTGAAGGACAAGCTTTGGCAAAAAATTATTGACACTATAAATAAATGAAAAGGATTGGGTTATACTGGCACCATGACCAGTTTGTACTAAATGAGTATGTATCGAGCTGTCCACTTTCTTCACTAGACCTTTGATTAGCCACGCTGGGAGGTGTTCGCGAACACGAATATATAAGCTTCTAGAACTCCGACCAATATAACTTGCTCCATAGGAACTGATAAATACGAAATGAGGTGGTCGTTCTAGGTAATTCATCTTTTAGCTTCAGTGTCACCATTAGGCGCGTAGAAAGCAGTGATCGTAGTTCTCCGGCGTTGGAAGATTTTCGTATTGCCCTGCGTGATTTGTGAGATAATATTTCGCTAGCCGCATCCCCTCTGAATTGCAGGCTCATGAATATTGATTTCTTATTCACCTTTTGTATTTTGTCTATTCTCACTTTCGTGATCATATATTTAATTATAAACTTTCTAGGGTAACTGTTCTCCCTGAGAGTATTATGCAAGGTGTTTAGCTCATCTTCAAGTATATCCGTAGAACATATGGTGCGTATTCTGTGACTAAGGGTTTTGATCAGGTTCCGTGTGTACTGTAGAGGTACAAAGTTAAGGTGATGCGTATACTGCTTAGTTCGGGTGTTTTTTTTGCTTAAGTTCCACTCTCTTAGTTAAGAGAGCGTCTAAAAAGGCTATTCGACCATTACTCTCTTCTTCAGATGTAAACTGAATGGCTAAATGCAATTCATTGAAGTGCCTAAGAACCTCTTGCTGTGGTGTATTATCTTTACAGAAGATGAATGTGTCATTCACATATCTACAGTAAAATGTGAATTTTTGAATAATCTTTTGTAGTGGACTATTTTCTAGTTTGGCTAGAAAAATATCAGTTAGTATGGGGCCTAGTGTTGATCCCATTGCAACACCATCTGTTTGTCTATATATTTCTCCGTTGAACTTGAAATTCACATTTATGGTGCATTTGAGTAATGACTCTTTTACAACATTAATAGGAACTGTAGTTTCAATTTCATTTTCAATCAGTTGTTCATCTATATATTCTACGGTCTCTATGAGTGGGACATTTGTGAGTAATGATGTTACATCCAAAGACATCATCTTTAGTCCCGAAGTATTTGCATTTTTGATTTTGTCAGCGAATCGGAATACATCCTTAACACTATGTTTTACAACTACTTGAAATAGATTATATAGCTACCAAACCACTTAAGTGTGGTAGGTGGACCAATCAGTTTGCAAAATCACATAAACTCATGCTGTTCAGTGAAAACGGCGATAAAGATGTATTGTTCTTAATGCTTCGTAGTTGAATTGCAGACGAAATCAAAAGTAACACAAATTTAATGCTTCTTATAAAATAAGAAGTCAGTCCGATCAGAGCATATGGTGAGTGTCGAAAAACAATCAAGAGGTCAAATCTCTTTGTTGTGGAATATTGGATATAAAAATAAGGTTAGGAAGAATGCCATCGACCTTCCGGCTTTAGATGAATATTATCTAACTGCTATGAAAATAACTAACCTCAAGTAATCGGAGGTGATTGTATTTTATTGATCAAAATATAAAACAGGATAATTGCTTGTGCGTATACTACAATATAAAATACTCTCAAGCAAATTACCTATAAGATCTATAGCATGTAAAAGTTCATGGGCGATAATCCAACCCAATCCAGTGTATCTGGTGGATAAATCTTCATCCTTTTCATAAAATGGTGGTTGCATCAATCCGGCAAAAATATATATGCGGTTTAAATTTTTCAAATAGTAGGCCTCAGGTAAATAAGTTGGTGAATCACGTAGCGACCTAATTATTCAAAAATGAATACAAACATCACATAATAAATAATGTGGCATCAAACCTCAGATTGGTAGTCAATGCATCAGTATGTTTAAAACAATTAGTCCCTCTGATAAATCTAGATCATGCAATGAGAAGACGAAGTCTATCAGAATTATGTGATATATTTGCGCAGTACATTTATATATGTGGTCAGATTGTTCGAAATGTATTGCTCAAATATATCACATAATTCTGATAAACTTCATCTTCTCATCGCATTATCGAAATGCATCAAGATGTCTAAACACGTTAATAAAACTCAACTATAACACTGAAATATCAAGTATTCATGATAATTTACAAATGTAAACCATGATTGGAATAACCTATTTTAGTGAATATAGTGTTATATACTTGTGGTCTTATTACTATCAAATGGTTGTTTAAAGTACCACTCATTTATGTGGAATATCTTATGATTGATACAAGTTACCACTTCACTGGTTACCAAATATAATCCATTACGTGCGTTCTAATATCTGGTAGTTTGTTTCACTAGAAAGATGTTTTCATTAATATGTGCGATTTACATTGATCCATCTTGAATAACAGAGATATTTCTATAATGAGTCGTAATTCTTCGTTATTACAGAAAAATAATGCGAGTGAATTTCCTATAATGAAATAGTACATTAACTAAAGACATGTTTAACACAGTATTGAGATTGGATGAATAAGTGAATATTAGTTGTTTGAGACATAAGTATTCAGACAGTTACAGAACTAGTCATTTTGTCAACTTTTAACTATACATCAATAGCTGCATTAAATATGTTTGATGGATGTGAGTATAGTCAGTTCAAGTGGGATTTCCTCACTAACATTCTTAATGCAATCTACACTGTTAATCAGTATTTGGTAATTTATGTTTCTAAGTTATTTGTTTTTGAATGTTTTCTCACTACGTTTTTATTATTTGTTTCGCTTGACCAAAGAGAATCACTTGTTTTCGTCTGCTAACTCGCCATTTTAACTCACATTGCATTCTGAAAGTGAAGTTTTGTGGTTGTCATCAAAATTATCGGATGACCATGTCTAATCATCATTCGTTATGCATCGGTGTTTTATTCTCATGATTGTAGAACGATTGAGCTCACAATACTCAATAGAGTTATAATGTGTAGATCAAACGTCTGCATATTTACACTTGAACATTCTATTTTCGTGAAACAGCACTATGTAAATAGGTAAGCAACGTGAAGAAATTGTCTTTTTTAATTAGTTCTTTATCAGACCACTACACAAACAAAAATGTTTTACAAATGAGTGAACAGTTGATACTAATTAAATGGTGGTGAATCAATTAGCCAATATAATAATCACTTAGTTACACAACGTTTGGAAAATGAAAATGAAAACAAAAGTGAATTTTCATAACCACTCAATTATTACAAGCAGTTACATAAGAGTGGGAACAAGACTCAAAATACAAGTGTTTTGTGTTAACAGTGAGATTAATGGTAAGCAATTGGTAGGATGAATTCGGTGGAAATTATATAATAAGATTTCCAAACAGGTTACTTAGGATTAGCACTAGAAATTAAAGTCTTAACAAAATCGATTTTCAGAAAATTCTAAAAGAGAATGAAATGTTTTCAAACATGTCATATTATTTAAGTAGAAGATCAAGGTAGATTCAAGGGATGTATGACTTTTTTTCTGCGCAAAAAGGTTAGGATTTTCTCCGTGTATTTCTATGGCTTCTACTGTAAGAATCAGATCCTCGAACCATAGGGTAAATCAGGTGGGATTCTATAAATAATTCTAAACGCTGAACTTTTATTTATATGATGGGTGGGCGAGGAAAATAGTGATCGGTTGTTTACCTAGACAGACTAGTAGATGGCCTGACAGCTATTAGATGTGTTTTATGTTTTCCTACCCGTTTTCTTTTGGTTATTATTATTGTCGGTTGTTGACGTCGGAATATACTCACGTTATAGTCAAGCTAATCACCTATTCTTGATTACGGTTGTGTTGATGTCCTGTAGAAAAGACACTGGCAGGGTATCTAGTGTAAATTTTTATGTAAGACAAATCAGTTTCCATTGGTGTTAAGGTGAAGAGTGGGCGTTATTTCACTATTTGGTGATCAGTGTCAACTAGATGCATCAATATAGATACTCTTCTTGATTTATGGCCAAAATACAAACAAAGTTTTAAACCACATAATGTTGAATAGAAAAATGATGGCTTACATTTTACCAGCTTTTTTAATGCTTCTTCTTAATTTCTCTGAATATATGGATTTCTGTGCATAATACTCATTTAAAATATTATCTTCCGCGTTTATAGGATACTGAAATTTAAGAGTTAGAATGATGATGATGAATTTACGTAGGAAAAATTAAGTAAACTAAGTGAAAAACTTGATTTATCAAATGTCATTTAAATTTAGACTGGTGTAATTTATCTTCAGAAAGATATGACACCGTGTACACGAATGTGTTCAATATTAATTTTATTATAATCACCAACTAACGTCATCTATAAAGCAGTTGAATCATGGAACCAAATCTTCAAGCTAAAAATAAGCTCTCGTTTCTGGTGTGCACTTGGAAAGTTGTAAACATACGACAAATCATTTGTCATGTTATGTAATATGGTTTGCATTATTTCAAAGTAGTGTGAACAGACGAATAATTCAGCTTTAAATATGTTCCGGTATCAAAAAGTTGTAAACACAGCCGTTTAACGTGTACACAGTAAGATTAATAATTATCCTAATGAAAGAATTGTTTCGTTTTCATCAAACTCACTCCGTATATTTCTGAAAGATCTTCTCTTCTTTCTGATCCATTCACATTCGAGTATAAAATGAAAGCCTTGGTTTGGTTAATCTATAACATGTATTAAATCGTTACAAATATGTCATTCTGATTAAAAATTAAGCTAACCTTGTCCTTGAAAAAGTGTTTTGTACTGTCATCCAACCATGTGGCTTGCGTGATTGATTCAAATATAGAGCTTTTCATTTCTTCAACTAGTTGTTGAACCTTTAATTGAAAGATAGAAATCTAGTTGAGAATCGGGTCTCATCGGAGATGCTTCAATTTTTACCACAAATATATTTTGATTTCAGTAAGCACTTATCGCAGTTAAGGTTTACACTGGTCTGTTCATTTAATATCTAATGCTTAACACTTACACCTGTCAACCCTCGTGGAGGAGCACAGGCCGTCCACTAGCTTGCTTCATCGAACTCTGACCTGATCAAACCTGTCCAGTTGTTTCAAGTCGTTGTTCATCCTTTTGATACCTGCTTCCAATTCCAGATACAGTGTGTCAATAAGTCTTACACTTTTCCGTTTTCCTTCAGAATCCCAAGTTAGGGGTCGCCTCATGATGCAATTTGATGATTTTCACAGTGTACGTACTATCCACATCCAACGTCTTTTCCCAATTTCTTCTTCAGCAGGAAGCTGGTTTTTTCTCTTCCAAATTAAACTGTTGCCGATGATATCCGGTCGACGGACATTCAGTATCTTGTGTAGACAACTGTTTATAAATACTTGTACCCTTTTGATGATAGTTGTAGTAAATCACGACGTTTTGACTCTTTACAGTAGAAATGTATTGATGTTTGTATTGAAGCTTCCAACTACCACATCTGCTGACAATTGTCTTGGGTTCCGTATGTTCTTCAATTATAGAAATGCTGCTTTTGCTTTACCAGTTCACACTTTTAGGCCTGCATTGGATTCTCCTTCTTCATGGATTATGCTACCCAGATACGTGGAAGTTTCCACCTCTTCCAAAGCCTCCCCATCAAGTGTAATTGGGCTGGTGTTCTCTGTATTGTAATTCGTGATCTTGCTTTTTCCCTATGTCAACTGAGGCCTAATGCTACAGAGACTGCTTCCACATTGGCTGGCTACACCAGCATTTGTTGGTGTGTACGGAATGGACGAGCCAGTTGGTCGGCGAGGTCAAATTTACTAAGTGCGTCCAAGCCGTTCATTGTATTTCGTGCTTCCTATGAGGTGTAGAGGTCTTTGTAATCCAGTTGAACACCTGTAAGTCCCCAACGCTACATCACTTTTAGATGTTTTTTGAACGGATTTCAAAATTGCATTTGTTGTTAATCAAACTAGCATATATACTCTCAACGAATAAAAACCTGCTGAGCGTGCATATGATTTAGTACAGTTCCCCCAACTGGCACACAGTTATGTTAACTTGAGAGGTAATTATGAGTAGAACATTCTTACATAAATATATCTTTATGCAAAATGTCAGGTGAACAACAGTAGCTGACTTTATGCAAAATGTTCACTATTCACACCATGAAATATCTGTTGGTATTAATAACCTGACTTGAGTTGGATGGTACCTTTTCAGTGCTATGTAGTTGTCTGAAAATAACTTCTGAAATATCTCTCCTTCAGTTTGTGGTTACTGGTTTCAGTGATTACTTCAACTTGAGGATCCGTATTGAACATGTAAATGACTATCTGTATTAAACACGTAAATTAGTATCAGTATTGAACAGCAATTTGTGTTGCTTGCTACTGTTAAACTCAGTAAGAAATCAATGGTTGAAATTTTACTGAAAATCAGTTACAGATCATAATGTAACACATATGATCGAACTTGGTTGACTTGTAGTTCTGCGCTTAGTCTGAAATATTAAATTAAAATTTACAGTGATAGGACGACTGTTTGACAAGCTGAACAAACCTCATTTCGGTGGTTTTGAGTGATGCGAGAAGTCAGGAAATGCTTTTCAAGTGTCCATGGAAAAACGATCTTTACTCGATCCATACAATAAGGTGAGAAGTATGTAGTATTGCCTAATCATAACACAAAATATTGGAAAGCATTTTGTTAAAGAGATAGATGAAGAGTTTATTGAATTCATAGTAAGTTGTTTTAAAAATATGCATATGATATGTACGGTAATCAATTTACTAACTGAATTAAATCATGCAACTATAGAGTGATTCATCATATAACTGAGGATGTCGGTGTAACTTGGCTCATAATAAAGATTTGATGATATTATATTCTTTACGTAACATTCATCATACTGGTGTATTTTATTAATTCTATAGAATCTTCATCTTAATTCAACTTAAAAGCAGATCCGATTGAAGAGAGAACGCATTTCGTCTATTTGACTATCTACTACAGAACTAATTCTTAAGGATATTGTTAAAGCATGGCGCGCTCATTCGTGAACATGCATCAAACTAGACATAATTGTTAGATGCTGGTAATACGTTTGATGAATGAATTTTAACAAAATAACAATAATTATACATTTTTCAATTCACTTGGATTTGATTTATGTGCGGAATCAAAATTTTTCTGATTTAATAAACGACGTTCCTGTTCCGCCAAAAAATTCAAAATAGCCAGGTTGTAGAGCGCACTTTGAGAAGATCATTGAAAATTGAAACAAAGCAAAACAATTATTATTGTTTGACTGCTTAGCAAATGTGATTATCATATTATATTGTCCGCCATAAACTTTAATAACAATCAGTTCTATGAAAAGAACAATATAAGTAAGTTCACTTCTTCCGGTTTCATTCTCTACCATATCTCAACATAATTCCAAATTTTAGAAATGGATGACAGAATTGGTAGTTCAAATAAATGCTTTTTGTTTGAGCGAATTTGTCTTATTTGAAAATTTATTTGTGGAGATTTGATTGTCACTTTACTGAGAGTATATGTAAGATTTTTAAATTCACTCAATAAGTAGTAAATAATCAAATTTCTGAGGAGCTAATATTTTATGTCATATATTCGTGGGTTTTAATACCTTAAAGTAAGTTGCATTTCTGTTGACTGTTTTATTCAGTTGACTTCAGACCATGTGATTGGATGGTCTAGTCCTCATGAGTTTATATCCGTTGATATAAGTTGGACTCGAGAAACATTTATTCCAGTTAGTGTCACTGTATACCAGGAGACATTGAACAGCTGGTTTAGTCTAACATGGACTGGTGAACAACAAAGATCGACGACCATACCAGTGATCAAAACCGGAACGTCCATATTTCGCCAAAGATTCCCAACCATTCGAACAAATGGAATGATCCCTGACGACTCATTTTAAATGTACACTGATGAGGTGTCCGATACCATAACGAAACACTTATCAAGTTATCTTTATTATTCATTGGTACCCCAAACGAGAACGATTCCTGACAAACACAGCCTACAAATAAAATAATTTACCTGAAACCCCTTCGAATAATCTACCCAGATGTACTTAAAACGCCACTCCAGAAACATATTAAACGGCTTAACATATAGCCCATTCAAAATAAAACCAGTAAATTAATTCGTGAAAATGATTAAAGTACTTAGAATGCTTGTTGAACCCTCAATATATGCAGACTTTATTCGCTGTTTATAGAATTTTCATTATTTTAGCTCAAGCCAAAAGATATTTACATTAAATAATCTGAGATTCTCAAGGAACATTAATTCATCCATTACTGTTTGACGTATCTTATATAGGAAATAAAGTATTCTCTCAGAATATGACAGATTTTACATTACTTTCCACAATATGCATTACTGACGAAGACATTATCCTCGGAAATTTCAATCCATTGTTTATAAGTGATCATCCAGCATTGTCATACTTGATCACTACTACTGTCTTTTGATTAATTCAAAAGCAAATAATCAAACAAAAATTCAATTTCAGCAATTACCTTTTGTCTTCATCTGTTTCCAATTGAATTTCATGGAATGCACAATAATATTGTAATGCATGTTTTTCTTCAACCTTTACTGGTAATTTATGGTAGTTTCTAAATCCAGTTTGATTGAACAATTTGTCAAATAAATAATCCCAATCGATCTAAACAGACAGTTTTGTAAATTATCAAAAGTTACTTTCAACAAAGGGTTCGATTTCGTCATTATGTTTGTGATAATGAAGAAATTTGACAATCCTCACCTACTAAGATGATGTAAAATATGTCTGATATTCGTAAAGCAGTATTACTGAATTAGTACTCGAGTCAGTATAATGGTGAAATTGTCTACTTATCTAATATTCTAGACTTTTACTAAATTTTATGTTAGGTCCCACTACTGTCTGTATTGAATTCTATCGTTCATGTTGTAATGCGGCTATCAGTCCAGGTGACTCGATAGTGTGTGCACGATATTGAGATGTAAGCTCGTTTGACGTTAGTTTAGAAAGTGTGTAAAGCATGGTTTAACTGGTATATGTCTAGTTGATATGGGGAACCATTTATATGCCTTTATATCACAAATACATTCATTTTAGTTTGGTGTCACCGAATAATCTATCAAAATGACTGGTTTCAACCTTTCCTCTCGTGGTTTATAAGCATCAGTAGAAGACTTTTTTTAATTCGTATGCAGTTTAAAACGATACAAATGAATTTACCGGTGGACAAATGGCCTTTAGTTCATCCATGCTAACCGTTTGGTTTTTTTTATAAGTTGAGGATGTTTGTGGATCCAAGAAAGCCTGAGAAACAAAACCAAGGCAACGATTAAACACATGAAAATAACCAAACTCTAATTTGTGCATGATACAAAACATAACATGCATTTATTGATGAAATGAGAATTTTGTAAAGCATGGAAACGGAATTTCTCAACTAATGAGTGTTTTAAATATCTTGTTTAAGTGATATTAAGTAATATTAAATAGTAATACACTGGTTGCATTTTCAACTGCTTGTGATTAACGTGTAGGTAGGTTGAAATAGGTTTTCACGACTAGAGTTTGATTATTTCTGTCAGGAACATTTCAAGACTTCGGCTGGTATATAAAGAAACTGAATATGATATTTTAATATTTTTGCATGGATTCCATGGAGTGAGTTTCCCTTACGTAAGTGATTTTATTGTACCTACTGCAAATAGAATAATTTTTGGAAGATATTTTTCATTACTGTTATGAGAACCAACCAGTGAACCTTTTGATTTGAAACGATAAAAACCTACGAAATACATTTGTCCGAGCAATTAGTTTTATCATCGCTAATATCACTTTCTTGTGAGCGGAACGCTCACTGACTTAGAAAAGCCAGATGAAACATAAATTCCAGGGTTTGGTGATTACGTATACTCAGTAGTCAGTGTACTCTCAGGTGCATGAGGGGATAATTTACTGAGCGGAATGACTACTGCTGATGAACCGTAGTAGATTTGAGGTTAGCATGATATCTGTTCACTCTTCAAGTAGTGTATACGTTTCGGTATGCTAATATCGAACCTAGTACATTCAGATTTCTTGGTGAATAGGTTATGTTCATAGTACTGAGTTTGGTCTACGCTTCAAACTTTCAAGAATCATTTACTGTTGAGCCATCTTTTATTTTCATTAGTAACAACTGTCTGATTGAGGTAATCTAACTTTCAGTTCACAGTCATATATTGTGTTTAGTGAATAAAGGACTCATAACTTGTTATTAATTTATATTTCTGTGTAATACAACTCGACATTCATGTGGAATGTATAACTTACAACGTGTAATATTCAACATCACATATTAGAAAGTAAGTTATAACAAACATTAAGCAACTCACATTCACTAGGCGGTCAAATAACTGAAAAGTACGTGCAAGCTTTGTGTTCTGTGACATATTCAGATTTAGTGAAACAAATGACTTATAAAACATGATCTTCAGGTCTAGCACTCCATCCTATTTGAAAGAAGAAATGCAACATATTATGTTATGAAAAGAGGATACAATGTTGCATTTATTGTAAAGGTGATAATCAAAACATAATCGAACTTTGATGACACATTTGTGATACATAAGTGATTTGTCATGCTTATCTTGACAACTATAATTTCTGAAATTTTCGATTGTTGTATACATATAACTGCCTAATAATTATAAATTTAAAATGAAGAATCAGTTCCATGTAACTAATTTGTTCAGAGTGGCCACATCTGTTTTCTCTGAATAAGTAAGCGTGTTATCAAATCCAATCAGTATTGTATCACCCAGTTTAACCCTTGACAGTGAATAAGGTACTGATACTATTTAATGTAAAGTACTTTGTTTCGTGTGATCTCGTACACTGAGAGTTGTATGTTTTGGTTCTGCAACGCTTATGATCTCTGTGGATAACATCACCATCATCTATTTCGGACAGACATTCAGTAAAATAGATGATTTTAGGAGATGATTTAAAACTTATTACACACGTAACCAACTAAAACATCCATTCAAATCTCATTGTTTGTGGATGATTAGCGGCATCCACTTTGTCTGATGTACTTCATCTCACAGTTGGTGCAACCTATTTTGTAGCTGACATTAATTTATTAATTTCACCTCTCTATCGTTTAGGTTTGTGTAAAGTCAAATGAAGTATATTGAGTTGTTAGTGACTTTGCGTCGGGTGATTTCTAGAATATCGGTCACACAAAATACTTTGACCGAAATTTTGTAAAATTATGTGAGATTTTGGAGGTGGCCTGGTTTTTATTGCGCCAAATATTCTTTTTTGTGTGTTTGTAATAACTAAGATCGTCTTAATTTAATTTAGGAATTTTTGGCTCTCTGATATTTCACTTGCATTAAGTCTCAATTCGTCAGACTTTCAATTTTCTACTCAGTGTGAAACCGTAAAACATGCTATTTGAATATCATAAAATAATGTGTGTTACGATTTGTGAATTTCTGTAAACGGAAATATAGTACAGTCAGATTATTGACATTCATTGAATGTGTTTCGTGAATGGTAATAAATAATACAACGGACAATGAATTATGTTCCGGATCAGTAAATTTAACATTGAGAGTGACTAATATAATCTGTAAATTACCTTCTCCAAGAGATTTTGATCTGAAGTTAGCTGACCTGGATAGATCTGATAGAAGTAAAATTATATCAGAATTCAAACAGATTGATAAAAATGTAACACTATAAGGAAACGTCTGAGTTTATCAACATTCAAAATATTAAGAAACACATAGAGGAACACAGTTCCCAAAAACATTTGGAAGGAGACTGGGAAAGTGAGAGTATACAGCATAATGGTTAGCATTTATCAAATAACAAAACTTTCAGCCTAAAATACTCAAAAGACTAACTGGTTTCCCAGATCGTTTACAGATATTCAGATGCTATCCGAATTTTACCATATTCATACATATTTTAATAGTCGGGTATAAATTTAATGAATATTTGCATGAACTATCTACTTCTCAAACGCTTTGCTCTGTGGTATTTCCGAGTCATGGGAATTTCGAAATTGTTATATGTGAAACAGTGGTAAACTAAATAATGGTCAACTCGTTAGTAGTATAAGGTGTATTCTCGGAAGATGTTGTGGTAGTAAGGAATGAAATTAACGATAGATTCCATGGTGTGTTTCTAATTAAAAAGAGAATTTATCCATCCATGTTCTAAGACGAAATCTACTTTATTCGTTACAAATAAATAACGAAAGGCATTTTTAATCGACTACTTGATTATAAATTGTTTGTTTGATTCAAGTTTTTGAATTCGACAACCAGACATCGACTTAGTTTGCTGCGGAGTAATACAGAAGTAGTATTAAATACAACAAGAAACGCCTAATTACGTCTTCCTTGTACAATATTTTTTTTCGGTGCTGTGACTTATTACCTCACTTTATGTGTTCGCTATTATAAAGTGTAAATAAAAAATTACAATGTTATACTGGAGTACTACACGCTTCCTTAACAACTGAAATATTAACACCAAATAATTGGATTGTTAATCACTATGGAGAATTTCTACTTAATAGTGTTGATTAAATGAACGGTGAGGTAATCATTAACGGTTAACCGACATCTCGCACATTATATTTTGATGTTATGTTGTTGAAAATGACTATCATGATGCCGTATACCTTGTGTTAGCTTTCATGATATCAGTGATTTTCCTTTTAAAGTTCGGACCAGTATATTACGATAAAATATTGCAAGAAAACCTGGAGATTCATAGTTCATGGTTTGCTTATCTCAACTATGTTTTATGATTTGTAGTCAGATAATATGTATTATCAGGTTACCATGGTATGATTTTTTGTTTTAGTAATACAGTCATACAACTGGATTGTTAAATTAAGGATGATGGGATTTGTTTTTCGTTTACATGTCACTGACGCAAAACAATCAATGAAAATCAAATTCGCAATACCCATTTAAAACTGATACACTGTTTTTTAAATAATCACTTATTGTTGGTTACAGCATCCTCATAAACAGCAAACCTCGTACAATTTGATGTTCAAGCTATGTGATTTGGGAAACTAATCTGATAATTTAGCACTCGGGTTTCTAATTAATAAAACTATTTCGTTTAGTTGATATAGATAACCTACTGTAGTGTTGTTTCACTTGGCACTGTGAATCCATTGCATTACTGGTTGACTATTATGGCTGAATGATCGCAGTGTCCTTACTAAGCTGGAATACTATAAAAAGTATTTATTATTTTGGTCAGTTAGATGGTGTTTAATTTTGTCATTTATTTATTACAGTCGAACTGCTATCCATAATATATTTCGAAATCAACTTACTCGAATTGTTCGATCCTCTTCGTCGATATCCAATGAAAACAAGGGTGAATGTCCTGTTGTGCTTATTAGTGGTAGGTATAAATCAGTTAAACTCAAATTTGGAATATTTCTAGCACCATCAGATACATTTGTCATATTTGTTGAAGGAGATGTCAATAAATCCCATTCACCAAATAGCTTCGAAATTAACTGACGAAATTGATTTGCAACATGATTAGCGGAATCATGAGGACCTTTTAAACAAGCTTCGTAAAATTTGCGAGCAGTAAAAAGGTGTGGATCATCCAAGGCATATGACTTGTTAGCTTAATTTAAAAAGTCGATGTTTGTGAGAATTGTGATTAAGGAGTGAAATAATTAAATAGATTTACAAATCACATGAATAGAGACAATCTGGAAGAAGTTACTCATTATGTAAGTACACGGAATATATCCACTGAGACACAAGGTAAGAATGGTTGGTTCAACGAATTCATTTTCAAAGCTGTATAATCGCAAACGTGTACTTATTTTTCAAAATGATAATAATTACAATAATAGTGACAATAAAATTACGTTAATCATTGTAACGGTGAAGTAGAATAAACAACGGTATAAAAACGTTACTTTAATCAGAGGAGACAAATAATAGTTTTATTGTTAATGGGCATGAATATTTATTATGAAGATGGATAGGGAAATTATAGTTGGGAAAGAAAAGATCAGCATGATAAGATAATACTGTTGTTTTATTTACATCACTGTTACCATGTTTAACGGAATATTAATATCACTATTATTGTAATTATTATCATTTTGAAAGGTAAGTACACATTTGCGGTTGTACAGCTTTGAAAATGAATTCGCCAGAAACAGGACTCTTCGTTGAACCAATCTTCCTTATCTTATAGCCTAGTCATGTTCATACAGTTGTACGCCCAACAATCATAGTTATATTAAACTTATTCGAGTACTGTTGAATGTGAATTCTAGATCACCTGCTAAAAGTAATTGTGTATGAAAAGTGATTTAGAGAACATATATGCAGTAACTCGTTAGAAAGCCTACAGAATTATGCGATTCGATTATGACTAATTTTATTCGTTTGATTTATCACACTCTATTACGAATGTTCGAATTAGGTATACAGTACTCTGATTTTCAACAATTGTCAGTCACAATTCTGTTCTTGATGTAAATCCATTAAATTCTTATTTAGTTGAAAAGTCCATCACTGCTCGTCAGGTGAATCTCGGCTACTTGAAGTGATTAATTTCGTTTCAACCGTTTACATGATATCATTTCATATGAAAATAATAGAAGAATATAAATAAATACAACCAAATCATATTGTTAGTAATATGAAAATACTTGCCAATGATATTATAGAAGTAATGGTCAGTGATAATTCCGGACTTCTTAAAAGTGTTAACCTCCTGTTCCTTATTCGATACTGGATTGTTTCTCACCCACTTTGTGCAAGCGTAACGATCAAAATCATCACATGGATCCGTAGTATTCAAACGGGTGGCTACATTCTGACTTGTAGTCTCAGACAGTGATATTACTGTTAGAAAACAAAATAACGTCTTAATGGAACACTATTTGAGATTGAATAGAAAGATTTACATTATTACACAAATATATTTAAACTTTAGTCTATCTTTACACAAATTGAACCTATCACCTTAGCTCACAAAATAACATCGGCACAAATTATTTTGATAACATGTATTAGTTCATACTGAGTAAAGAAATTCAGTTCATCATGGTTTGTATTATCCTGTTGTTGGTATCTTGACCTAATCTTGGTCATTGCTAGTTGGGATATGTGGAACCGATATTGAATGTCTTGATATCGACATTATTTCACGGGTTTATGTAGAGATGGGATGTGACTGACTGAGTAATCGAGGACGCGTGTTCAGGATCCTACTGTTAGTCACAGTTCATATTATATAAAGAGATATTTTTGTGACATTATACAGGTCATCTTAATCATTTTAATTTGGGTTTTTCAGGTGGTTATGTTTATCCTTCACCAGTTCCACTCTATTCGCAAGTACAAATACAAAACGGTCAATGCAATGTAAAGTAAAAGTGATTTATTTATTCGTATTCCCATAATAATGAACAATCTCAATGCCAAAAAATTGAAGAAATTTGAAACAATTTGTGTTTAACCTCAAAGTTAGTGTTTTGATTACATCGTCTTCCATACACATGACATATGCTCTACGTTGACAGTCCATTTTCCAACTGGTATAGACATCGTGGAGAATTGGTCCAGGTCCCATGTTCTAAGTCACACTGTTGCCACAGTTTATACCATTTAAAGAGATATTTTTGTGACAAACTTTGTTATGATTGTGATCTTTACTTCAACCAGATATAAAGGGGTCGTGAAATCCCAGTGCGAAATTGCACATTCGCCAAATTATGACCCACTGACATCTATAATTAATGAAGATTCTACACATATTGCTTCAAATAAATCTAAATCTGTCCTCTCATCTTTAAACGAGTTATTATTTTTATACCATTAGTCCATTGTTACATTACTAGCGACAAGTTCATACCGGTCTTGATCCACTTTTACGGTTCACAAACTGTTTTACGATAACATAATAAACTATAGAACTTTATCGATGACTAGGATATTCCAAATACAATCTCTTCTTGACGGACATGTACAGCCAAAAGCATTAAAAAACAATACACAATGTGTATTTGTGTTATTTTCTTATGAATGTTCCATTATGAATGTCAGACATTAAAACAGATTAGAACAGTTCATTCCAAAATCAGTTAAATGATGTGATTATCTATTGTACGTTGTCAGTGGAATATGGAATTTTTGTAGTTAGAGTTTACTTTTTCATTATCAACTAAGGTACCACATATGATCGACAAGAGAATGTATTCACTTGATTTCTTATGGCACAAATGGGCTTACCCATTGACCATTTGATATCTCACTAACTACCTCCATGTCATCGAGGTAATCGTTGCAAAATAACAAAAACTGAAGCGCTGATTTAACTGGAGTGGATACAAACTGGGGGATATAAATTCTTGTTACACATGATTAGTGCACATATGCCATACAAATATGATAAATCGGTATCATAAAAAATTTATTTTTTTAACTAATCCCCATTACGAGTTACATCACATAGAAATAAAATGAATAGGTCAAAATCTATAATACGATTTTGCTAGTAGGTACACATACTCATGTTTGTGTTGTGAGATCGCAATACGAATGTCAAACAATACAGGTTATATGAAATATCATTTATGTTTATTTTGTTTGGAAAACATAAATTCACAAAATCTTGTGCCATTCTACAAGTCCATTATGTCGCTTTTCCACATGTTTAATGCTTAATTACCTACGCATAAAGTAAATAGGAAATTAGAAAGAAAACTACAAGTATTGGAAACCTCGATTGCAATGACTGGAGAAGTGTTTTGTTCATATAATTGACTATATTACACTGAACAATTAGGAGAGATTTAAATTCACCGTTATGTCTTGACTGCAACCAAATACCACTTATGTCATAAATATGAGATCTATTTGGATGTACATAGAATCTATTTCATTGCAATGCTCGAAAATTTTTTGAAATACCCAGGAGTAACGCAAATACTAGAATATCATATTCAGTGAGCCTCGAAACTCCACAATTATTTGAATATTGTTGCATCTTGTTCCTTATCAAAAACAACTATATTTAACGACTATACTTTGGTATTTTGTGTTTCGTTTTCGTCTATACAACTAGCATCACTTGTCTATGTTTCTTTTATTCAATTAATTAATTTTCCATATTTTCGAAATAAACTTATACTATCCATATGATCGTTCTTTCTAAAATCACCTCTCTATTACCTCGTTTTATATAACGACTCACCAAGCAATGCAGTTTTGTAAACAACATCTAAACATACTTCCATCCTAATGATGTTTGGTGAAAAGATAGCA